CCGACCTCGCCTGACTGTCCGACGACCGACGGCCGATAATCGGGTTGGTGTGCGGAGGCCTTAAAGGAAATGATGTGTTGTAGTTGGCTACAACATTTTTCATAGAATTATGATTTTATTTAAATGAAAAATCTGTTGTTTGAAAAAAATACTTAAATAGAAATATTATAGATAGGTAGCTTTTTCAGTTACAATCAGCTACAGTTGGTGTTGGAGGATATTTTAGAGGGAATGAAATCTGAAGATTCTGAGAAAGTAGTGAAATTCTTAGTATGGTTGGCCATCCGTTTTTGTGTCTGCCATTGGGCATCCAAGTGTTAATCTAAATTCTAATCTAAAATCTAAAAATCTAAAGTAAATAATCTATTTACTGAATGTCTGTTAAGTCAATTAAAATGTAAATACTGTTGCAGTTTGCTTTTAAAAACAGCTGAAATTTGGGCTTATCAATTACTGTCAGTTGTGTGGGTGTTGTAGGGTTCTGTGTTGGGTATTTCAAAGCAAATATATGTAAATATTCAAATTTGATTTCTATTTCCTCCAGTCTCAAATGGTTTGCATAAACTCTTGTCATGCTGTAGTCAAACACTGCCAGCAAAAGTGGAGAGCAGAGAAAAACACAAGTCAAGAAAAGGCTGGACTTTTCTTGGTATTCTTCCTGAAAATCCCAGCCTGAAGCCACCTCCTCCCCCACCTCTCTGCTCCATTCAGCTTCCCACTGAGGAGCAAACTGCAGTGCTACCAGAGTTGTGTTGTGGTAGATCACTGCCACCTGGTGGACAGATACAGACAGTATCCTGTAATAAGGTTTTTGACTTAAATACAGGTTACGCAATGGAACTTAAGTTGTGTTGTCCTGAGGTTTTGTCTACTGGAAGGTTAGAGAACAAAGAGAACCTGTGATTTTCTTTTGTTTCGTAGCCTGGCTAATTGCTGGGTTAAGCTAATGCTAGCGATCAAACAAGCTACTGTGCGTAGCAAGTGAACAGGAGAAAGTGAATAAAAGTGGAGGAAAAACAAGTGAACATGCTGTTCTGTAATATGGGAGATTGGGCTGGGTGATTGAACGAACATATCTACTATTAGATCATTTTAATTTAATGGTCTTCCTCCAAATAACGAGATCCACTGCTCAGCAACAGACGTACAGTGGCACAGTACACACACTGAGCCGAGTGAGTAAGAGCTCTAGAGCCACAATATTTTCACATCTCACTCTGTGAATTAAGAGTTTATTTTGATCAGTTTGACGACAGGGATTACAATAATGAGGTGATTTACCACAGCCCAGACCAGGACTCTGGAGACAATAAAGACAAGGCGGGGACAGGGTGGGACAGTAGTACTCGGGCTGGTAGCTAGAGTAGAATCCATACATTAGTATGAGACATTAATCTCATTATTACTGATGTTTTGACAAGAAAATAATTATCAAAAGAGATCAAGAAAACTGCAATCCAGCCAAACACAGAGACACACTACAGTTAGCTGCTGTGGTGTGTGGCTGGAGTGAAAACTGCTGTATATCTACGTCTCATCATTCAGATCTGTAGGTGCTCTGGAGCTCAGAGCCTAAGACCTCCCACTCTATTTGGTCATCTCAGCCTCCACCTCCCATTCCAGGCTCTCTCTGCCATCCCATCTCCCAGTCTTGGCTGGTGTGTCCTGTATTAGTCTCCACAGGACTCTAACTGCCCATTGGCACCACTACAGCTACTGCTTATAAGCTAGCCGTGCATTTCCCAGAGAGCCACAACACTGGAGCCAAAATGGATAGACTCCTGGGCCGGCCAGCTAAATGACTGTGCACGCATCAGTCAAATTAATGGTTGAATTTAAAATGTGCTCTTCCCCCTCACTCCACTTTGCTTTAATTTGATTTGCAAAGGTCAAATGCTAAAAATGAGAAGTGAGGAAGAGATGCAATAACAGATGTGAAGCCTGTTTTCTAAGCTGGCACAGAGCTGCTTCATTTGGAATCAATTCTACAGTTAACCAGAGCTGGCTCCTGATTTTATATTGCTCTATTTCAGTGTAAACATGATGATTTTTTCTGAAGAAGTAAAGAACAGATTTGTTATCAGTTCCAACAATTCCACTTGTTTGATAATCCATCACTTCTACATTATAACTGTTCATAGTTACAGAAAATATATGTATTTACATGACATAACCCCATGCATGACATTTTGCGTTTGAAACTCACCAGAGTAAATGCAATGCATTCCTAATCTGCCATCTTGCAGCCACAAAAATGGAAAGAGAAGAACAAGGAGTGTGGAGCTATTATTGTGGCAAAACTATTTACAAATGTGTGTGGAGAGTTGTGTAACTATCTCAATCTGTGTGTGTGTAATCAGATCTGTGAATGTGTAAAA